CTGTGGGACATTTCATGTTTATGCTTCAAGCTGTGCAGTTGGGGACAATTTATTCTGTATTAGTAGATGTGAAATTAATTAATTAGTTAATTAGTAGATTAGGGAAAGACCAGTCTCACTCCTTTTCCTCAGAACCAAGGGAGAAAGGAAGGGCAGACAGGTGAGAAGACAGCGTGTAGGCTCACCCTGAAATAACTAAAGTAAATTCTTCATGCTCTGACTCCATCTTGTGTTTGCTCACACAGTTCTCAGATCCCTGTGTCCACCTGCAGCATGACTGTCTTCATATGTATTTGAGATTTCCATGAACTTGTCATGGTGCAAAATAATTATCCACAATAAATAAAGGATTCCAAAACACATGAAGATGTTATAGACCTACATTAACTGTTATGCGGTGATTGAGATAATTACTCTGCTCTGCCAGGAAAGAACATTTCAAATTACTCTGAACTGCATATAACATGAATTTAAATTATGTTCATTGTGGTTGTTACCTTTCAACATGCTGTGCTTCTGAGCTTGGGCTCTTACAGATTTTCACAGGCATGAGCCTGCTCTTGCTGGGATCTTCAATAAAAGTACTTAAACCATTAATTGACTTAATAGCATTTTTGTCAATAACTGTCTTGTGTGGATCATTTTAACACAACAGCAGTGTCTTACAGTGGATTCTTCCCTAGGCAGAAGTCTGAATCTTGCCCTCTTTCTCTGTCCCCACATAACAATAATGGCCACCCCTGTTGACCTCTCTTTCACGCCTATGACCCTGTTCCATCCTTACCAGCATCTGCTCAGGTGGGCAACATTGTTGACTGCTAGCTCCTCAGGATCCCAGGATCAGAGACCAGTTAGTATTGAGCAAAGCCAAGTGATCTGACTGGTTGGATGGTGTCCCAAGCCCTCATCCTCTTGATAGTGTCTTTGATGCACACAGCTTGACTTGCCTCAAGCTCAAAGTAAAGAAGCCAGCAGACCCTGACCTTAACTGTCTGAAGCTGTGATTCAATCCAAATCCTTGCTTTCCTCAGTGAGTTTCCTCAGATGGGCTGTCCCAGTGATAAAAGGCTAACTGACACACCCCTTTATATGCTGTCTGCTCACTGGTTCTCAGTAACAACAGAAAACACATGGAGGCAGCTCAGCATCCTCTCTGAAGGCTCTGGTGTTGGGCTGTGATCTGGTGTGGGAGAATTACCTGTATTCTGTTGATCATGTATTTTAATAAAACGCTGATTGGCCAGGCAGGAAGTATAGGTGGGTCAACCAGACAAGAAGTAGAGGTGGGGCGATGAGAATAGGAGAAGGGTAGGAAGGAGAAAGCCAGTTCCTCCCACTCCTTCTCAGATCACCAAAGAGGCAGGATGTAATCTGTCCAGCTGTGAAAGGTACAGAGCCATGTGGCTAACATAGACAAGAATAATGGATTAATATAAGCTACAAGAGCAAATAAGCAGACTAAGCCAATGGGCCTATCATTTTGAACTTATGGAGATCTCTGTGTGATTTTCTTTGGGGTTTCCCAGCTGTGGAGTACCAGGCAGGACAGAAACCCCAACAAGCAGGCCCTCTCATGTTACAGAATGGTGCCCAACATGGATAACTGCATCCACAGAAAACCTGAGAAAGCCTGGGAAAGAATAAAGTAAAGCATGTTTTCTTGGTAGCAGCAATTTCTTGGGTCTGCTCTTCTTGTTAGAGGCAAGCAAGCACTCTTATCTAAGAGAGGCTTCCTGACTCAGCTTTAGCTGCAAAACCTTTCAGCTCTTTTAAGAGGTCCTGCCACGAAACACCTAAATGGTGTTGATGAAAAGCTGAACACATGTTTTTCCGTTTTCACCCGAAGCAGGAAAAAAGCTGCATTGTTTTAAAATGCCGGCTTTCTGGGCCTTCCTGCTAGGGCAAACTCTGACTCTTTCAGGCAGGCAGTCTGACTGAGTGTGGTCTGTGAGCAGAACGATGGAGCTTGCTTGCTGGCAGGGTCCTTGAAATGCCATAGAGTTGTGGCAATAAAAATGGCTACAGTCGGTACCTCTGCCATGAGGTTGGAAAGCTAAGGAATGGGCTGGTTCTATCCGTCAAAGTCACGGCTTTAATCCTCTCCATACTGCTTAGTAAATTAAAGGCTCATGTGGTCAGAAAAAGAGAGATATACAGTAAAGATAGATTCAAAGATAAAAACCTCTACATGGTTTACTATATGTTAAAATATATTCAGGCTAAAGATTAAAATTCTTCAAGTAAAAGCAAGAAAGAGAGTCGTTAGGTATGGTGGTACACACCTTTAATCCCAACACTTGGGAGGCAGAGGTAGATTGACCTCTGTGACTTCAATGGGCATAGGTAGGTAGATTGACCTCTGTGACTTCAAGGTGGGGTAGCACACACCTTTAATCTCAATGCCTGGGAGGCAGAGACAGACAGATTTCTGTGAGTTCAAGGTATGGTAGCACATACCTTTAATCCCAAAGTTTGGGAGGCAGAGGCAGACAGACCTCTGCAAATTCAAGGTGTGGTGGCAGATACCTTTAGTCCCAGCACTGGGGTGGCAGAGACAGACAGATCTCTATGAGTTCAAGGACAGCCTGGTCTATAGAGTTATTTCAGGACAAAGAGATACAGAGAACCTGTCTCAAAAAGTAAAAGTAAAAATAAAAGAAATAGAGTTTAAAATAAAGCCACATAAAGATGGAAAATACACAGAGAATCTTGATACTGTATGCTATATGCTCTCTTTGAATTGTTTGAATGCTGAGGAAGGAGTAACAGCTGCTAAAAGATATTTGTTTATAAATGCTGCTGAATGAATCCAAGATAGGTATTTTGAAAATACCTTGACTTGAAAATTGAAGTCAAAATGTATACTACTTTGGAGAAGAGGATTTGCTTTTGTTTCCACAGAAAATGAGAGGCTGTGGATTGAGTCTGAGATAAAAAAAATGCAGTTTGATCAAGGAAGACTATCTGAGAAATCTCTGGTAGGAACAGATGGCCTAAGTTCTATATCCAGAATAGATTCAAGATGCTGCTTGAGATGATCGAGACTCACAGGATACTCCAGTAACCTGATCATAATTCTAAATTTTCTTTAGGTCCGCATAAGATTATCCGCGCCCCCAATTACCCAGAAGTTGCCTGGAATATTCTGCCCACATTCCCCAAAAATGGACTAGGGATATTTCCCTTTGTTTAAAAAAAAAGAAGGGGAAGCAGTGCGGGAGAATTACCTGTATTCTGTCAATCATGTATTTTAATAAAACACTGATTGGCCAGGCAGGAAGTATAGACGGGTCAACCAGACGGGAAATGGAGTTGGGGCGATGAGAACAGGAGAAGGCTAGGAAGGAGAAGGCCCTTTCTTCCCACTCCTGTGCAGACCACCGAAGAGGCAGGATGTAATCTGCTCAGCTGTGAATGGTATGGAGCCATGTGGCTAACATAGATAAGAATAATGGGTTAATTTAAGCTACAAGAACAAATCAGAAGATTGAGCTAATGGGCCAATCAGTTTTTATAACTTATGGAGATCTCTGTGTGATTTTCTTTGGGGCTTTCTGGCTTGTTGGGTATCGGGCAAGACAGAAACCCCAACAAGCCGGTCCTCATGTTACAGTGATCTGCAAATCAGGCAGTACACAGTGACTACCCCTAGGAGACCCTCGCATTGGGTTGGTCACCCTTACACACTTTGTCCTGAGTTTAGTTTTTATCACAGGTGTAAACATGCCCCTCCCCCATCCACAGTTCACTATCTCTATTGCACAGGCTGTCTCTGCAGGGGTTCATCTTTTCTTTGTCATGTCCTGTGCAAAATTGAAACCCTGGTATCTGTGTCCTAGATTCAATTAAGAAGTGGACTCAGACTTCTCTCACAACTTCAGGACCCATCTCTTGGGCAGCATAAGATGTACGCATCAACAGGCTCCTTAGATACCTGGGCTGAAGCCAGAGGGACGGAGGAATGCAGCTGAGGCATGCCAGTGCCCATAAAGTACATGAGGTAGCCACTTCAGGGCCTAGAACTGCTGTTGGACATATTGGAATTGTTGCAACATGACTGCTTTCAATACCTGGGCCCCTCCTTGTTGTTCCATGGTTCTAATGGGGTGATACCTTGGTTCTCACTTGGGAAGGGAATTCTGTGTGCGACACAAGGCTGTAATTATCTGAAATTACATGTCTACCTGCTCAATGTCTGTTCTTACGAGGTGAGACTCGTATATTTCAAATTGAATGCACAGCTTTTCCTTTCTGTGCAGGCCTCCAGCACTGTTTCAGGGACCACAAAATCTCCACGGACACCAAGTACCCCAACCCAATGAACCTTTGTCTCCTCTTTTCCTCTATCTAGGCACAAAACCAGCTAATCTTTGAGCAGAATCATCCACTCTCCCTTCGAGATGTGGCCTGATATTCCTTGTGACTGTCCTCTGTGACAATCCCTACATCTTCCCAGAGCAGTTTTCTGTCCTATAGCCATGAAGAGTTATAATGGTCCCAAAACAGGAACAATGATTTACCCCTCCAGAGCTCCCTGTGGTACTGAGTCATTTGAGGACCCGCACAGGGCCAGACTCTTTGCCATCTGTTGACTGTTTTTTCTTTTGCTAAACTCTCGTGATTCTTGAAATGTCCCCAGTGCCCTGCAAAATCTTTTTTTCTTTTTTTTTTTTTTTTTTTTTTTTGGTCATCTGAACACCATCTTATCCTCCTGTGACCACAGCTCAGAGGGCACATGATCCTTAGACTCTTTTGGGTCCTCTCTGTGACACATACAGAGACTTATTTTATGTTTCACCTGCCCACCATCATGGTGAAGCCTCCAGCAGAGTACCCTGGATTTTGGGAAGATTGTTCCTGTGGTATCAGAACTCTTGAAATAACATCCTGCTAAGCACAATGTCTCGCTGTGATGTCATGGGAAAATGACTAAACTTCTCTGGTTCTTAGTTTCCTCATCCATAAAGAAGCTCATAATAACATGTAGGCTAGTAGTCCATCACAGAAGTCAGAGACTGTAAGTGACAATTTCTAATACTCTGCTGTCACTAGAGCCACACCTCTGCCAGTCAGAGCTGAGTGAACACAAACTGGCCACTTTCTGTGCAGTTATACGTCTATTGCATTTTGTGAAAGCCCTTTATTTTGGGTAAGGAAGGGTGGTGTCCATCTAGTGTGTGATGTTGGCTAGTGGGGAACCTAGGAAAAGGCTCCTCTGCCCCAAGTAGATAGATTAGGGGAAAGGAGCTGAGCTGAACATTTGACTCCATGCAGAAGCAGGAATAGGTTTTCTGCCAGAGTTCTGGATGTGGGCAGGCCCAGGAGCCCCTGAAGGGACACAGGGTGGCAGAGCCTGGGTGAGGAAAAGTTTGAGGCAGCAACTGTGCTCACACTGGTCCCAGATGCTGGAAACACAGAGAGGGCAGCAGGTTCTCTTCTCAGGCCTGGGCCTGAGGGCCACAAAATGGACCTAAAAGCTTGAATAGTCCAATGAGCCTGTGAAAGTTGAAGCTGGATATAATCATAGCACAGATAGGGACTGAGCCTACCTGCCAGGGCCCAGGCTTTGGGTGGAGGCTCATACAGGGGAGGCAGCAGGGAGGGGCCACAGATTCGGAGTTCAGTCTCAGAAACCTAAGCTAGTGCTGCCAAGATTATGGGGAGCCTGACACTGTCGGTCCACAGGCCCTGTGCGTGTGTGAGTCATACAGTCAGTCAGTCACTGTCACTCTTCACTCAGGCACCCACAGCCAGTCAGAACATGGAGGCCAAAATGCACATAGAGACCCACATACAGGCTTCATCCCTGGCTCCCAGGAGGAAGCCTCACCACTTGGGAAGTTCTAGTTTCCCTTGGGATTTGTGATTTTGGCCAAAAAGAATGAAGTCTGAGTATCGGTGTCAGAGATCATCAGCATGAATGGCCTGTTGAAATTCACGTTCAAAGGATTCATAATTAGAGCCAATTTCCTTTTTATCACTACTCCCGTGGCAGCCGCTGCTTCTGTGCCTGTCTCAGCCACGTCCAGCACAGCCTTGTGGACCACCTGTAGGAGAAAGACATCACTCACTGGAGACCAGGGAGGGCAGGAGAGGAGATTCCTGGAGCAAGCATTGACTGATGGCCTCAGACACTGGTGAATTTCTTTGTTCCTTCCATGAGCTCTACCCCTGGGGTTTCTAAGCCTCTGCTCAGGGTGAGAGATGACGCATGTCCTGGGTTTATGAGAATCTTTGCAGCCCTGAATCCCAGTAATCACTGGACAATGGGTATAGTCACTGCCTGTTCTTACTTCACAGGCAACTTCTCAGGAGACCCACTGGGAATATCTAGTGTGCTAGCCGCCAGTGCAGGGGTCAGCATCCCTATTGCCCCAGCCTCCTTGGGACATACAGCTGTAATGCACAAGGCATGGCTTCTCGTTTTCAGACTGCCATGCCACAGATCAGAGCCCGGGAATCAGAATGGGCACTGGATAAAACCTAGGCATTGCCAGGCTGTGCGTCTGGAAATGTAGTGTGAAGTCCTAGTCATCTCCTCTCCTTTTCTTAAGTTGTTTGGTTTTTTTTAAATCACAAATGCCTTCCAGTCCTTTTTATTTTCTTTACTGATACTAATCTGTACGCTAATATGGAAGTTCTGGGCCATCTGCGCAGTGAAGAAGCTGAGACTGGAAGTCGATTGCCCTGCAGTGGACTGTGGGTGGTATCAGCACCACAGCACTGGTTGGTGCAAGTGATGGTCTAAGACCAACCACAGACTTCTTCCCAATGAAGATATTGGGTAAGGTTATGTTCAGGAGGCTGAGCAGGGATCGACTGCTTGTTATGCAGCATAATATAAGTATCTAGAATGTAATCTGCCTCTTCCAGGATGAGGGAATCTCAGAAATGCAGGCTTTCTCATACATTTCCCCCCACATCTGACCTCACCATCCACATTCAGGCACCAATGGGAAACACCCAGTGTGTCTTGCTTACCTGAGAGACTCTCAGGTTCTTGGTCCCTGTGATCCTAGACAGGTCAGCCTGTGTGGAGAAGACTTCCCTGATGCCCAACTGTGGAAGGATGTCCTGCAGGCTGTAGTCAGTGGAGATGGAGAACTTGGGCAGGGAGAGTTTGATCATCCTGAGAATGGAGAGAGAAATGTAAGAGTCACTGAATTGTGTGTTCTCCTCAAACCACACTGTAGCCAGAGCTCGTGTACACACAGCCCTCTCACTGGGAAAAATTCTCTTTATATTCGTGCCTACATGACATGATTTTGCTTTTCCTGTTGCATTAATTATCCTATAATGCTGGATAGACAGTGAAGAAGGATGCTTAAAAGAAATCCTACACTAGCTCAGAACTGAGAATAATAGATGGTTAAATATTTAGAGGTAGACACACAAATCGATATCCTCTGCTGGAACGGAGAACAGCAATTGAATCCAGCACCAATAAAGAGGGCAGACACATGCCTTACATTGCATGAATAGTATAAGAGTACATGCCCCATGGGCAGATAACTTAATACTAGAGTTACTGGCTCTAGCATTTCCTAAAGAAAAACAGCAAGGCATGGTACCAGCTGTTTTCTTTCCAAAAATGCTTTGCTCCCAGATCCACAAAATGCAGTCCTTCCCTTGTTGTGTGGACTCAGACTCCATCTAATGATTCACCAGTTTACAACTGTACACCGCATCTGACTCTGGCTCTCCCCACTCTCTTCCTCAATTGCAAGAGGAGCCCCTATAGGTAATAAATTTTGTGCTTTTGTCTCTGATATATTCTATGCATCTAAATGAGAACATGTCACACAGCAGGTCTTCAAGTCATCATTGCACTACTGGTGAATGAATAAATAATGAGATGGGATGCAATGGCTACACAGGCCAGAGCTGATTCTCAGAGCTGACGTCATCTCACCCCCACTCCCCTCTGCCTTCTAAAACCCATTGGAGTTTTTTGTAACTACAGCCTGGGAGACAGAGAGGAAACCTCAGCTCTTGCTCTAGCTGATGTCATCTTGTGAACAACAAAATGACAGTAAAATTCCCTCAACTCCCCATCTGCAGAGGGAAACTGGCCTGCACTTCACTTGCCCCTGAAACTCTCCAACCATTACATAGGTGTTAGTGAGATTCTGAGGTACAGGGGAACTGGGCAGAGACTAGGTTGGGGAGGCAGACAAGATCTGGGTCTGCAGACACACACCTGGAACTCAGAGAGACCCTCCACTTCCTCAGGGTCTCTGGCTGCAGGCTGGCTTCCACCTGCTGCATCCTGCCCTCGTCAGGGAGGATGAACAGGGCACTGGCATTGCCTGTGTACTTCAGCTCCACCACAGTGAAGGATAGCTCCTCATCCCGGAAGTAGAGGGTGCTCAGGTCCTCAATGTTCATCATGGGCACCTCCACACTATTAGTGTCGTTCAAGTGGATCACGGACTATAAGTACCTTGAGGTTCAAAGGGCGTCTTCCATTTTCCTAAAGAGAAAGGGGTCATCAGTAATGTCACCTGAGAGACTCCACCTCTATCCTGTTTCTGTTCACCTTCTAAGTTGTGACAGCAACCAATCCATCTTCAACAATTCAGCACAGGGGATGCTGGACTGGAAAAATATCCCTGTAGGTGGATAAGCTCCCAGAAGTGAGAAGATACTCCAAGCTTAATTTGCAAAGGGAAAATTCAAAACCAGAACAAGCCTACTTGAGTTCCTGAGTAACTGTTAGGGTTCTGGATATGGAGAGTGTAGCAGAGATATGAAGTGAAAGAAGTGACATTGAATTATGAGGAGAGTTGGGGACCCTTCTTCCTCAGGGGGAACCTTGTCTAGAAGGCAACGACTTTTGGAACAAGTTTTAGAAGAAACAGGACAAAAGACATTGAATTCTTCCACACCATGAGCAATCCATGGGTCCACAGATTGTGGGCTAAATGTAAGGAACATGTCCTCGGCTCAACAGGGGCTATGGCCACCTCCACAGATATCCTGCCCTGACTCATCCCGGATTCCTAGTTTATGTCCCCATCACTAACTCAGCCTGCAGAACTTGGTACTGAAACAGTCTCTTGGACTGGGATCTAGCAGCCTAGACAAGCATCCCCACCTCACAGACAAGCAGTCTTGGTTCTTGGGCCCTGGGCTTAGAGAGACAACCCAGCCATCCTTCAGGCCCTCACTCTGCTCCCACCATTCCCAGCTCACACAGCTCTGCAGTCCTCTTGTCCTCACGTCCTCTGTCCTCCTTGTCCCTGTTTCTGTCCATGGCCACCTTGATTTTCTGCCCACAACTCACAGCCTGCCCTGGACTATCTGTAATCTAACCCAGATCAACGCCATTCTGATTACATCACGATTTCTGTCAGGCACCAGTAATGGGCTATCACCTTGGTCCCTGGTCTCTATCAAGCAGGGTGTTGTGGGTGTAGGCTCTGGATGTCCCCTCACTATCCTTAGCCATTATATCACCCGCTGTGTCTCCCAACTCCCTTGCACCTGTTATCTTCAGACTCGCTGGCCCTGACATGTGTCTTGGGCATTGTGACCTTCATGCTAATGGGCTAGTTAATTACAGAAGCAAAATTCCACAAAGCAGCCATGCACGGAACATGGTCTGGCTGACACTGCCCTCACGTTAGTCTCCTGCATCCCTGCTTTTACATCCTGAAATGGCTCAAGGGAGAGATCCTGAATAGGAATTGCCCTGGGGCTCTTCAGGGTTAATGGGCCATGCTACTTTCCCTCTTAAGAGTGGGCAGGCACACTCCTTAGGTCATGGAGTCCCCAGCACACCTGGACCTTTCTAGGAACAGGCTCTCCAGCAGGGACGGACACCTCCTACAGGAGCATATTAGAGATGCTGGAGTGGGCAGAATAAGGGACCCGGTCTCTGCATGGAGAAATCACAGCTTCTGCACACTCAGGAAGGACTGGACTCTGAAGCTATGCATTCTGCTAATGAGTAAGTTCAAGTCACAGCCAAATTCAGAACTCTTAGACTGAAGACCTCAGAGATTCTGATTAGCATGTGCCACATGCTAGGAACCACAACTATATTCATAAATCCTTGGGGAGAAATAGGGGCTGTGGGTAGAGAGATGTGAGTCACCCCCCATGTCTCTAGGGTTGTGAGCCCCTCCTTTTAAGGGGTCAGTGTATGGATACAAGGTTCCCAGTCAATATCTTTAACCTCCACTCCAACCAAGTGCCCATCCTTACCTTTAAAGTAGATGTAGTTCACCATAACCATTAATGTCTCCTTATCCAGGTCTGAGATCAAGACCTTGATCTTCCCTTGGGTCTCTTTGTTCACATAGTCATTGATAAGCTTTTTGGCCTCTTGAGGCTGCTGGAAATCGACACCTGAGGCCTCAGCATGGTACAGTGTCCTTGTCTTCTCCTCGAAATTCGCCAGGATCTCCAGGCTCTTTTCAAAAAACATGGCGCTGCCTGTGCTGATCTGCACCTGGTCCCCTGGCTGGCTGAGCATGTGGAGGAGGTGTCCAAATCCCTGGTGGATGTCTGCCTCAGGGGTCTCTGTGAGATTGAACTTGAGACCTTCTAGAATCTCTTGAAGGGTGTTGTTGCTTGCTCCCAGGGACAGGACGGCCAAGGCAGCTGAGATGCTGAGTGAGGAGAAGACAATGCTTTCACCTGGATTCTTCAAAGCCAGTTCCTTGTAGAGGCTGAAGGCAAAGTCAGTGTTGGTGGAGGTCAGTGTTAGACTGTCCTCTTGTGTCCCATTGATTTGGTCTTCCTGAAATTCCGTGTTACTTCCTGGTGTGCCATCTTGTTGGCAGCCAACATCTGGGCAGATACCTGCCATCAGGAGCGCCAGAGCGACAAGGAGGATCACCATCTTCTCTGTTCTCCAGGCTGAAAAGAAAGATAATTTGATTCTATGAGGGCCAGGTGGTATTGTGAACATCTCTGTGTCCCTGCTCTGCAGCCGCTTCCGCCTCCTTGAAGGTGCATGGGAGGTGCTCTGGCCCCGCAGATGGCTGCACCACGTCATGTGCTCCCTGTTATCAGCACTGGAGGAAGTGCTGCTGCAGCAGCCAATCTCCCTACAGAGAACCAAGATCCAGAGTGGGGCTTGGACATCCCTGGTCACAGAGCAAGACAGAAGTGCAGCAGGGTGTGGGGTGGGCTGAGCCCTGTCTGGTCAGAATGCCTTCTCTCATTCTCTCTCTGCAGAAGGATCCATTAGAAGGGAACCCTCATTTCTTACACTCTCCCACACCCCACCTCCATGTAGGGGAACTTAGGACCATTGCAGCAGTAGTTAGCAGAGGCCTAACCGAGGCTCTTGGTGAGTCAGGAAAATCCAAAGGCTCTTGTCTGAGTCTGGTGCATGAAACCAGGTCTCAAGAGGAATAATTGAAGGGCAGCTCTGGAAACATCTGGTGTGGTGCCACAGCCTTGGCACCCCTGGGAACAGGATAGAGAAGGACAAACAGGGAAGGTTCTTTTAGTGCTGCCTGGGAAAACAGGGTGGTTTGCACCTCAGGCTTGGAAGGCCTCCTGGTGGGAAGAAAAATGACATTTGTTTGGGATGACTGTGTGGTAGCAAGCTCCTGGGTGAACCTCTCTGGAAAGTGTGGTGAGTGACACAGATTCACAATTATCTGACTTATTATGGAGATAAAGGTATAGTTGAAGGGAATGTCTAGAGGGTTACTCTTCCATATGCCCTGGGGTGGGGACCACAGGCATCCTAAAGGATTACAGTTGAAGACTTGTGATGATGGTAAACACAGGCACCCACCTTTAGCCTCTGTCCCTTTGCTCAGGTGTCCAAAGATGAAAGTGGACGGTAAATACATGGAAGGGAGTAGAAGAAGGGAAGGGAGGAAACAGAGGAGAGCCAGAAGAATCAAGGAGTGAGAAAGTGGAAGAAAGAGGGGCAGCAAGAAAGGAGGAGGAAGCAACAGGGAGGGAGAAGGAGACAAGTGGAAGGTGAAGAGGGGAGAAGACCAGAAGAGCACAGAGGGAATGGGAGGGGCACAGGAGGGAAGGCTGGAGCTAAGCTGCTTGTCCCCAGGGCTGTTACTCGCCTGCAGAGGAGCCAGGGACCTCAGTAAGTTAGCTGCCTTTACTCCATGTTTACTTCCGACTCATGCAAGCATTTCTTCTGAGAAGCACCGAACACTATTTTGTGTCAGAATTGATTCCAGAGGAAAGGGGCTGCTCCATGTGTGCAGCAGGAGTCCTGGCTCAGTGGCTGAGCTACTGCTTCCTCCCTTCCCTAGTTGAGGCTGAAGACCCTCTGCTTGGCCATGGGATCGACAAGGGAAGTGGGTTCCTGACGACCAGGCATCTCCTGTCAACTGTAAGCATGGTGGGGAAGGCACCTCCTTCAGAGGGACTTTCCTGTCTCTCCTTAGCTCTTTCAGCACCAGGCAAGACAGACAAGGTCTCAGTACTTCCTCCCTGTGGAGTGCGGAAAGCAACAGGCTCCATTCTGTCTACAGGTGCAGTGTTCATTGTGCCTGCATCTTCCATAAACATGAAGACCCAGACTAGGGAGAAGATTTATGTGCATCCCAGAAATGTCCCCTGATTACATTTCTGTGAACCAGGAAAAACTCATCACCCCTCCTCCAAATCAAGACTCCAGGTCATCACCAGAACCACACAGTCCTAAAAAGGTCATTCCTCTGTTCCCAGAGAGAAGGAATCCTTGAAATTACCTGAGAGCTGATGCCTGTTGCTGGCTTCTGGGTCAACTGAGTTCTGATGTTGGTCGTTGCTACCTTCGTACTGCTTGGTTCTGTCTACAGCACACTGATGCCTATTTATTCCCACCATGGGCTCCTCCCTCTTCTTGGGAAATGCTGGCAGATACAAGCTGTGCTGTGTGCTCAGACTGGAAATGGGCAGATAGAATGATTTCTGGTAATGGGCATGTCAGACTTCTGCTAGCAGAACCACCTGACAGAAAATTGCCCAAAAGTGTTGTACCAAGTTTACTGAATATCCAGAGCGTTCAGCAGCAGTGAGAGTGTGCAAATCCCTGCCCCACTTCTCACCAGGTTTGGTTGCAGCTAACATTTGTTCTGTATTCTAAGTCACTTTGAAAAGAAACCAACTCTGTGTCCATGCTCCCTGATTTCTTTAGGGAAACTCACATGTTAATAAAGAACGGACTCAATGCTGACAAAACAAACCTGCATTAGTGTAACTGTCCTGTTTGGTACCAATGGGAATAATCTAAATAGACACTCACTCTGCCATCTTTGTCATCAGACATTTGAGGGGAAGCTGCCTTGTCTGGCTTCAAGGGAATCCCCTGAAAGGATTCTGTGTCTGCAGAGACTGGATGACTGATCTGAATTTCAGTACTGGAGAGAGATGGGAACACTGCAGGACCAGAGGCTAATTACCTTCTCCTGGGCTAAGGGTGTTGGGTCCAGGGGAGTCGTGAAAAGATGGGAACAGACAACCAAAGTCTAATAACCAGCAGCAAACTTTATTCCAGAAACCAGCCTCCAGGAAAAAATAAAAAGTTAAATTGAAAAAAAAATCTCCATGGGGCACAAAGAGCTTATCAGCTAGCAGA